TGTATAAACTTCACAGTGCTACTTGCAGTCATATATTTTACAAGATAATAACCAGTCCTCCCAAGATATATATATATATACATATATATTTATATATATATATATATATATATATATATATATATATATATATATATGTGTGTGTGTGTATGTGTGTGTGTATATATATCTATCTATATATATATCTATATATATATAGATATATATATATAGATATATATTTCTTTTACGGCTGTATATATATATATATATATATTTCTTTTACGGCTGTGGGAAATCTTTATATAACCCGAGAGGTATCAGTAAATATGAAGAAGACACAAGATATATGAGAAAAATCTTATCTGAGTTTTTTTTTTATACCAGAAACCTAACTTGGCAGCCATTTATTTCTAGCATTTGGCAGAAGAGCTTTTTTTTCTCTGAAACTGACACTGAACTGCCAGAAAACAGCTAAATACACTGCTGAAATATACATGTAAGCTGTCTACCTGCCCACAAAAAAAAGTAATTATGTCCATCCAGTCCAATTTTTTTTACACAGCTCTGCCACATATCACGTTCCTGTCTAGCAGATCTGATTTATCTCTGCTGCAGTTAAGTAACACTTACAGGTCTCCCGCCTCCCCCTTCATCTGTGTATGGACGATAAAAAAAACAAAACAGCACACTAATGAACTCATCTGTATGTCACTCTGCTTTCTCCTATCAGTATGCTCCTTTTTAGCATATAAGTATTGCAACACAACTGTCTCCCTGTGTTCTTCCCCTCTCCTAGTCTGGGTTTTGCTGTACAGGTATTGAGGCAGACTAATAATACTTCAAATTCAGGTGCTTACCCTGCTAACATTAAAAAAATTACATTTTATGATGTCTGCTGGATGCTGCTTCCCATTTTGCACATTAAGGGCCAGTTCACACTACATGCATTTCTGCATCCAAAACGCACAGAAAGTAGGTTATATGGTTGTCAATGTCCTAGTTCCCATCAGGGATTGCAGTTCCAGTGCGTTCCAGTTGCAGAAAAAAGTAGGCTGCATTTTTCCTGCACAGAACTGCACTGGAACATGGTAAAACACATGCAAAATGTGCTGTAATGAACCAAAACACTCCAATAACGCACTGGAATGCACATGTCCCTACTTAAATTGAAGAAAAAGAGATGGGGAAAAAAATGAACTGGAAAGTATCAAAAACGTCCCAGATCGCCCCAAAAAGCGTCAAAAACACGCATGCAGTAATGCATTTGAAATGCATCTGGACTGCGTTTCTATGGTGTAAACTGGCCCTAAATGACAAACTCAACGGTGCTATTTTTTGCATGCACTTTAGAGATGTGAAAGTCTTTGACAGATTTGTAGTTGGTAGTAGTAGATGATTTCTACCTTTACTGTTAGGGCCACAGATTAAAGGAAGATCATAGCGGCCACTGCAGCCATTAGCTTGTTTAACACCCTTCGGTTGCCATGACATCTAGGTTGCATAGACAGCATACAGACAGGAGTCCAAGATGTAATTGATATGAGCTGCTCTAGTCTGCTTAGCCTCCCTAAACCCCGTTTTAGATAATTAGCACTGTTAGAAGAATAAGAGTAATATTTATTAAATGTGAAATCTAATTTTCTGTAATTTTAGACTTTTGCCAAAAAATCTCTTAGTTGGCCTAAACTCTATTCTTTGAAAAATAAACCTGAAAACCATAGTTACAGTTAAGCCAAACTTTGGAGACGTTTGGGAATATGAATATGAAATTAATTTTTTTTCTCTTGTGCTGCTTCCCCCCAGTCTTTGGTAATGTTCACATATGTAGCATGGGGCTCCCAAGCTACAGTTCAACCCCATTCTAGAACCCCACAGCAGGAGTAATATGTAGTAATATGCATGAACACCTCAGCATACAAAAAAAATATCCCGATCATTAGTCACACTGCATTTTTAGCAAAGTCGGTGCGCCCACACCTCTGCACTGGCAGATACATAAAGGCATAGGGTCAAACTGAAAAAAGATGTAACCTCAATGTATAACCTCCTAATAGGTTTGTACCAATTTGTCTTTTATAAGTTTAACTGCTCCCTTTTCTATCTCAGTTGTATTTGTTTTAAAGTGTCGTAAGTGAATATATTTTCATATCTTCAGAGCACAGACTAATGACATTCCCCACAGAAACATTAATAAAAGGGGAGATAAAGGAAACTGAGAGTGTTGCCCCCAGCAAGAAAAAGTAAAATCAAATATGACATATCTGATGTAGTTTGCCAGTAACATTAGCACAGCAGTCTTTATATTTCTGAGTACTTTCTGTAACTTAGTTATTTTATCTGTTAAATAGAAATAAAGATAGAATAGGTAGGCGCTATATATATATGGGTGTATATTATATATATATATATATATATATATATATATACCAAAAATCAGAAAACAGTATAGAAGGGATGTGTATATACAAATAATCCCTATAACTAATCACTAATCACTCTATATAGCGTAAGGCCCCCAAAACCTGGGCCAACTGTTGTGACCCTAGACAAATCTGGGTTTATTTGCTAAAGCTGGAGAGTCCAAAATCAGACTCCCTTCTGCATAGAAACCAATCAGCTTCCAGGTTTCATTGCCAAAGCTTCATTGAACAAGCTGAGGTTAGAAGCTGATTGGTTTCTATGCAGAAGGGAGTCTGATTTTGGACTCTCCAGCTTTAGTAAATAAACCCCATCTTGTCTCAGTGTTGTTCTAGTCTAATCTGTTGATCCTGCTGTTAAAGTGGAACTAAACTATCCTATCATTTTCAACCAAGAAGGCTGCCATCTTAGGCTCTGCTTGATCTTCAACTGCCATGATGCTATACATGTGATCAGTTATGACACCATACATTTCATTGTTTGACAGTTTGGTTGAGAGCACAAGCAAATGTGACACTTACATTCCCCGAACATACCAAGAATGTAACTGTTTTTTGATGGGTTTAGATCTGCTTTAATTTTCAATTTCCTATAACAAAGCAAGCAAACGTGGCAAATTGATGGTGGAGACAAACCATTTAACACTTTCAGGGGTGCTTACAATGATTAGCTTTTATTCATCTAAGTAAAACTTTTATCCCAAAAGGAAAAGAAAGTTTCTATAAATACTTATAATGGGTTTGCTAAAGTTAGGCTTTAATCTGTTACTTCTGTAAAGTCCATTTAAATCTATTAGTGCATCTAACATAACCCTCTCCGGACAATGCTGCTGTCTAAGGGTGTCTCCTTTTTGTTCTTTCATAGATAAAGGAGACACCCTAATTATTATTATTATTTATTATACAGGATTTATATAGCGCCAACAGTTTGCGCAGCACTTTACAAAATGAATGCTGACCTATACTTGTAGAACATTCATACAAGAAAGTATAAAAATCACTTGTCAAATCGTTCAATGGTGCCTTCGTGTACTCAGCTGATTTCAAATGACTTTTCATTCAAGTACCATGTCAATATCTTGATTTTTGTAGAATAAACATTTCACTTGTTTAACTTTGACAAGTTCATGTGCATAAGACTAGTTAGTTGTGTTCTTGGCTGGGAGTGAATTGAACGTTTAAAATTTTTTTATTTCCTTTAGATTCGACAAGATATTTCCATCCTTGTCCTTTTTGCTCGCATTGGTCGAAACAGATTTTCAGATTGCCCTCTTCAAACTCTTAGTTAATCAAACAAACATTATGAAAACAGCTATTTTTAATGAAATTCTACAGGTGTAAAGCCAGCTTAAGACAGGAGGTGTTTTACTGGCTGGATCACCAGGTGAAATTAAAGGGGAAAACCCTAAAAAACAGAAAACTATTGCAGCCACCACATCTAAGGATTGGGAAACTGCAAAATGTAAAATTTAAAATTTTGGTTTTAGTTGGCTTTAAGAATAAATCTGATTGTTATCAGCAACCATCTTAGGTTTTCTTTGCTTTAGTTTTCATTAACTACCCAGCAGTTGTCGCTGCAGGTCAGTCATTTTCTTAATGACAGCCGCTGCTCACATGATGATGTACTTCTAATGCGTAATTGGTATTTCTGGAAGAGATAATATACAACCATTTGTAGAATTGTAAATTACTTCAAGATTGCCCATTACTTTACCACCAACACTCATGCCCTGTCTAATGGACAAATGTCCTTCTGGAGATTAATAGTCTTAATAACTTTAATATCAAGGACACTTTGCCTTTATTTTATGGCCGCCACTTAATATTTTTTACAATCAGTATAAAGCATATTGAGAATCGCTTTAACTCCTATTCACATAAATTGGATATTAGACAGGAAAGACATTAGCAAACCATTATCATATTAGCATTATTTAATTATATTAAAGCTACATGAATGCCATTATGAGATATACATAAATTCTGCAGCTACAAAATGTACATCGGGCAATAAATAGCGATAACAGTCAAGGATTTATCCTCACTGATCTTTCCACGGTGGTACTGCTAGCTTTGACTTGGACTCTCTTCTGTCACATACTGGACCTTCTATATTTGTAAAATGAGTTAACGGACAGGAGATAAATCACAAATAGCTTTAAATTACAAGTTTGTTATTTTTTTTTTTTAATTCTATTTAACACAAGGTTTATATAAACTGTCCAAATATAATCATAATATATATATATATATATATATATATATATATATATATATATATATATATATATATATATATATATATATATATATATAAAAATGATATTATTTTTAAAATTAATGCAATGTTTAAAGTGTAGCAACCCATATCACCCAGTAAGCAACCCATATCACCCAGTAAGCAATCCATATCACCCAATAAGCAATCCATATCACCCAATAAGCAATCCATATCACCCAGTAGACCGATTAAAGATGGCATCTAATTGGTTGCCGGGAGTTACTGCACTTTGCACATCATCACTGCTCTGTGTGCTCCTTAGCAAACAGGCTGGCGTGCCTAATTCCTGGAGCATCCATTATCAAAAAAGTAAATGTTTATTACTTACCATTATAGAGAAAACAAATGCAACAATGTTTATAGGATATGCAGGGCAGAAACAGGCGAATATCGATAAGATCAAGTAATTGCTGGGCATGGGGAGGTGGCGCGGATTCATTGTCAATGTTAGTCTCTGGGCTCTCTTCTAAAGCCCTTTTGATTTCTGGACTGGAAGGAGTTTGAGACATGGAAAATTCAGTGCACAGAAAGGGGTCTATCCAGAAAGGTTCAGCTGTCTTCTTTGAGGCTGAGGGGCGGCTATGAAACCCAAGTTGGGATTTAAGGAAGAAGTGATCTCATCTCGGCTGATGCCTGATCAGCAACGGTGCAGCAGCCAGGGTGCTAGTGAAAGAAGGCAGACACAAAGACTTGCATATAGTCCTCAGATGTGAAATGCAGATCTCTATCCTTGTCTCTTAAAACTTGGTACTGCTATTTGATGCCTAGTGCAGACCAGTTTTATCTTGGACAGAGCTATTGCTGTTTATCATGTGTGGGGAACTTCCCTGATGACCTGGAAATCCCTTTTTAAAACACAGCTATGATAAATAACTAAAACTAACAAGCATTATAGGACTTTTAATTACATTATTATTATTATTATTATACAGTATTTATGAAGCGCCAATAGTTCGCTCAGCGCTGTACATTACAAAGGGGGACAGAACATGTGACAGAACAATACCAATACAATGCAAAACATGAGGGGATCGAGGGCCCTGCTCTTTCAAGCTTACAATCTAGGAGGGAGGGGATGGTGGCACAGGAGGAGATAGCTGTGGGGGATGGAGTGGTAGGAAGAGTGGAGGAGGTCGGCAAGTTAGCAGGGGGCGGGGTAGGCTTCCCTGAAGAGATGGGTTTTCAGGGTGCGCCTAAAGGAGAGGAGAGTAGGTGATAATCTGATGGGTTGGGGCAGGGAGTTCCAGAGGATGGGTGACACCCTGGAGAAGTCCTGGAGGCGTGCATGGGAGGAGGAGACCAGGGAACTAGAGAGAAGGAGGTCTTGTGAGGAGCGGAGTGTGCGTGCTGGGCGTGGGTACTTGGATATTAGGTCAGTGATGTAGTTCGGGGCAGTATGGTGGACAGCTTTGTACGTCAGCGTTAGGATTTTGAATTTGATCCGTTGCGCAATCGGAAGCCAGTGGAGGGATTGGCAGAGGGGGGGTGGCGGAAACGGAGCGGTTGGAAAGGTGAATGAGTCTGGCAGCCGTATTCAGGATGGACTGAAGCGGGGATAGCCAGCGGCGAGGCAGGCCAGTGAGGAGGGAGTTTGCAGTAGTCGAGTCGTGATATGATGAGGGAGTGGATGAGCTGTTTAGTGGTTTCTGGAGTTAGGAACGTGCGGATTTTGGCGATGTTGCGGAGGTGGAGTCTGCACGAGTTTGTTAAAGAGTGGACTTGGGGCTGGAAGGATAGGTTGGAGTCCAAAATGACACCAAGTACTCTGGCCTGCGGGGCGGGTTTGATGGTGGCGTTGTTGGACATGATGGAGAAGTCAATGGGGGGTGGTGTCCGGGCTGGAGGGAAGACAAGAAACTCGGTTTTGGAGAGGTTCAGTTTAAGGAAGTGGAGCGACATCCAGTCTGATATGTCGCTCAACAGGTGTGTGATTCGGGCGGAGGAGACCAAGGGGGTGAGGTGGGGGGTTGAGAGATTTGTGTGTCGTCGGCATAGAGGTGGTAGGAGGTGTAGATGGAGAAAGAAGGGGGCCCCAGGAAGAGCCCTTTGGGGGCCCAACAGGAGGGGGGT